GAAGGCTTGGCGGGCGAGAACAAATCCGAACGCCCGCTGGCGGAAGGGGCAAAAGCCTTCTGCGGGACAGATGGGAACATGGAGTTTGTCTCGAGGCCGGCATCAACCCGCTCAGGGCGCTGAGCAGCACCTTGGAGATTCAGTCGCTTCTTGTCCAAGACGTCCTTGACGCCCTCTGCTCCAGGTAGGAGATTGGGAGAAGAGAAGAAGGCAGCCAGATCCTTCTTGGCGGACGACCTCTGAGCAACCTCAAACGCCTTTTGAGGGATCTGCTTCTGGCGGCTCTGTTGTTGAGAAAGCATCGAGAAGTCCTCGACTTCGCCGTCTGCAAAGTCTGACTTGCGGTTTCGTGACACCGCCGGCGTGAACAGCGTCTGCTTGGGGGTAGGCTCGGCGGGTTTCTGCCAGGGGCTAGGAAGAGCTGTGCGCCTGGGAGGGATAGACGGTGCTGATCGCTTCGCAAAAGACTGTTGACGGCCTCCATTCGAAGCCGGACGCGATGCTTCTACCGCCCAAATATCATCATCCTCCTCCTCATCTTCTGCTCCGGGCTGCTCTTCCTCGACTTCAGTGTCCTCGGCACGATCTGGACTAACGAGACTAATCTCAAAACTCTGTCGCCGACTGTGCATTGACCTAGAAGCTGTGTTCGTACTAGAATGGAAGGAGCGCGACTGGGCGAAGGGCTGTTCGCGTGGGGCAGGAGCCTCTTGCATCCAGCTCATCTCATCGGCTTCATCGCCTGGAGCGACTTGAAGCGATCCCGACATTGAGAACGAGACCTCGGGTTCTTCTCTGGCGGGAGACGTCCGCATACTCTTACTCAAGGCCTCCATAAAGCTGGGCTGGCCAGTGTGGTCGTTCTCGGGGCCGAATGGGTCATCAAACGGCTCTCCTGTTAATTGCGGCGCAAGGGGTTGAGGCTGAGGTTGTGCTGCGGCGCGGGTCGGGGAACCAAAGAACTGAGCTCCGGCCTGGATCAAGTTGGACAATGGCTGAGTCCAGCTGCGAGTCGATTTTGCGGCAGACTGAGGCTGACTGCTGCTTGTTGTAGGCCTGAAAGGGCTACCGAGAGAGTTCTGGCGGGGAGGCGATGAAGCATCAGACGTGACGCTCTGCAGAGCTCGTCCAGCCCTCACAATAGGAGATAGCGTAGGGCGAATTCCGTTGTCTGGTGATGCTGCGCGAGGCGCCAAGAGGTTGACATCGGGCGATGGAATTGGGGACGAGACAGGGGCAACGGGCGTGATATACTCATTGGAGGCCGCAGGAAGACCAATCGTCAGGTCCGGGACCGGAAGATCAGAGCTTGCTTCTTCGGGCAACTGAGAATACGCAGCTGTTGGCGAACTTTGGGCCGCTTCGATGGTCTTGGCGTCTGACTGAGGGACAGGAACTTCGGCGGGAGAGGGCGTATCGTCTGGTGTCGGCATTCTGGCTGAGTCTGATCGAGTGTAAGAAACACTCGCAATAGATGGGGCTGCGGACTTGGGTGAACTCTTACGAGCCTCTTCCTCTGCCTCTTCTGCCTCTTCCGCTTCTTCAGCCTCGGCGTTCTCTTCCCCCTGATCTTCTTCTGGTGCCTCGTTCATAATTGTTTCTTCGTGTGCTTCATTCATGACGGTTTCTTCCTGTGCCTCGTTCATAACGGTGTCATCGTGTACTTCGTCCATCAAGGTCTCCTCGCGTGCCTGAGAGACATCGGCCTCTCGCCCAATCTCTTGCTCGATTTCGTGCTGCGTCTCAAGGTCATTGATTCCAGGTAGCTTCGGCCTCCCAGGCGTAGCAGCTTCCAAGTAGGCTTCCGGAATCTCAGAGAAGTCGTCTTCGTACATGACAGACATCTCCTCATTCACCATCGAGCTCCGCCGGATGCTCTTAGCACCGGGTGTCGCTGCAGCCAAAACTCTTGAGGGTACGCTGGAAAACGAGTTGTCAATCTGCGAGGTGTCCATTCTCGATTCCTCCAGCCTCGAGTTCTCCGCATCCATCTGCTTGACCTTGGACTCCATAAGCTGTCTGCTAAGCGGGATAGACTTGCGTCGAGGACTGCTTCTAGCTCGGCCTGGCGACTGATACCCTCTGCTCGGTGACGTCTCCTTGAATGCGAGAGACGGAGGTGGGAGATCGGGACGAGGCAACGACGGAAGGGCGACTGGAGATTCGATTTCTTCAGCCTCTGTGGCCACGATGGGGTCCACATGCGCTTCATTCTCCTTCTGCAACTGAACCTCCTGCTCTTGAGCTGGAGGATTTTGTACTGGCGAGGATTGCTTGGCGGGGATACTTTCGATCTCATCCTCATCATCGTCAACATGCAGGGCACCGCTTCGCCTTAAAGTCTCGAGGGTCTGGTTGACGATCAAGCCAGTCTCTTCACCGACATCTTCTGAGCGAAGGTCATGCATGCTCATGTGGCCCCTCATGGAGGGAATAGAGTTGGCGAAAATCATACTAAAATCTTCGCCTTGAGCAACAGTATCCTGGTCGCGGAGTTCGTCATTGCCATCGTTGTCGCCAATGAGTGATGAAATGTCGCTAGGCGCACCCGGTGCGAAATCGTATTCGTTGTATGCGGGTTCGTTCTCAGACTCTGAATGAAGCTGTTCAGATGGTGTCGGGCTCTTATCTTGCATATAAGCTGGTGTCGGACTGAGGGCGATTGAGTTGTCTTGTGTTGATGCGCGCGGTGTTGCTTGGTCTGACATTGTTTGCATCCAGATATCTGGTTCGGATTCCGGCATCGGGTTCGTGGGGAGCTCTCGCCTTGGGGTAGGATCGTCTACAATCATGTCTTCCATGCTCGCTGCGAGACCGTCGTCAGAAGGCGCCACGCCATCAAGGTCGATATCGTCCTCGACCGTTTCCACAGGTTGATCGGAAAACTCGACGCGCTTTGGGCGGCCGCGACGCCGGGTTGTGCTGGGGGGTATCGTAGAGGGCGCCGGGTCTTGGGAAACTTCGCGCGGTTGACGACTGGTGGCCCGTCTGGGACGGGTTGTTGATCTCGGTGTGCCTTGAATGGTGATATCGGTTTCTAAGCCATCTGAATCGGTAATGGTCTTGACTCTGCGGGCTTGTCTTGGTGTCTTTCGTGGAGAAGCTGTGGCCCTCCTCTTCGTCGCCGTACCGGTCTTAGGCGTTCCGGCGGATTTGGGAGGTCGACCTCTCCGCGCGGGTGTCTTGACGGCCGTGTTCTTCCTATCACCGGCCAGAGGAACTGTTGTTGTGTATGCGCCGCGGCTAAGGGTGGGTGTGTCTGCGTTGAACAATCTGCGCCCAACATTCCCGACACCGACATTCTCGTAATCGCCCTCGGCTTCAACGGTCACTAGCAGCCGTTTCGGCTGACGGTCGTCGCCAACCTCGAGCTCAAACATTTGCTTTCTAGGCGAAGTGCTACTGCCGCCGAGGGAGAATAGACGTTGTGATCTCTGACTTCGAGTTACGCGACGTGATGAAGGGTAGAGGGCGGAGGAGACGGTGTCGTTGAGCGGGTCTGGCGACGAAAGCAGCTCGTCGCTACCGCCTCTAGGCCGTGGCGTTGCCATTTTGAGAAATGCGCGAATGGCAAAAAGGACCAAAAAAAAAAAGGCCGCGCGCTATGTTTGTCGCATAGACTTTTCTACGAAAGAAAGAAGAAACGACGACGAAAAACTAGGCTCAATGGCCTTCGTGTGAAACCAGCAATAGAAATATGTCAAATTCTATGCATTGGATAAGTGTCGTCGCGAAGTGGTGTGGCCGTGTACATGCGAGCTGCAGTCTGCACAGAGGGACGGTCGGGCCTGGCCACTTGGGTTGTCAAATCTGTTTTGTTTACTTAGTCCCAGATTGGGCTTAGCTCAGCCCCTCGGTCGCGGGGGTCCCGTCCCGTCAGCTTCCAAGGCCATTGAGGTTGCGATGACAGGGGAACAACTTTTCCCCGCTGTTCCGATCAGTCCCGCTCTTCCAGGTGGCCCACCCAGATTCCCAGTCCGTGAAAATATCCCTCGTCAGCTTCGTCGAAAAGAGTTAGCTGATGCGCCTTTGAATAAGTACGGACGCTGATGGTGGGTGCCTTTGATGCCCTTGCCTTATCTCAAGGAAAGAGGGTCGCGAAGCTGTCATGATCGGATTTTGTACCCTGGTCTATCAGGCAAATGCGATAGGCATTCTCTCCCTTGATGCTCGGCAGTACTTCCGTTTCTCCAAATGGACCTTGGCTGGCTTACATCCCAGCGGAACCGGTGCCGAGGCATTGCCGGGTAGAAATCACTAGGTACAATGTCTCCCGCCTTATACAACATTCCTGTTCATGATCATACTGCTACATGGCTCCGACTCTTCTGATGCTTTCCTTCTATTCAGATGTTGTATCAACTGTGTGCTTGATCATTAAAAAGAAACACAAGTAAGAAAAGAAGATGGGAAGCGTATTTTCTTCCCAAATGAAGCATATCTTCCCAGGCCCCGAAATAGCTCCGACCCCACGAGCTCCCGAAGGGACCCGGATTCCCAGGCCGTGCCAGGCGTGCCACGGTGCCAGGCTTCTGGGGAGGAGCCCCATCACATGCGACCCCTTTGTCATCCCCCTTGTCCTGTGATCGCGCGCATGAAATATATAGCACGGCAGGTAATGACATAACTGGGGTTAAGGTTCTTAGCGGCAGACGACGACGCCCATCACTGCCCTCCCTCACTCCCTCCGACCCCCCCCCCCTTCGGCATTGAAAACGTGCTTGACCTCGGCTCCCCAAAACCCAAAAGGGACCGAACGTTCTTGTTTGAGATGGTATAGGGCCAGTCAGCAGCAACCTTTCCTACCACTGCCATTATTATTATTACTACAACCATCGCAACGATACCATCTACACCCCATCGTCACCCGCATTTGGATGCAGCATCAGTTTTGAATCGATAATATCATCGTCTCATCTATCGAACCTTTTTGCCCACGAACTTATACCACGACACCACACCCACCATCCACTCAACCTCAACCCAATTCGCAAGCAACCATGTCGAAGCCAGTCCTCCCCCAAAACGACAATGTCGCCCACGCCCTCGCCGGTGCCGGCGGCGGTCTCCTCTCCATGGCCCTGACGTAAGGCCACCACAAACCCCCCCCCCCCTCCTGTCTTATACCCCAAGAGACACTCTTCTAATCCGCGCGCACCCGCGCCAACAGCTACCCTCTCATCACCCTCTCCACCCGAGCCCAAGTCGAATCTAAGCGCGCCGACTCGGCCTTCCTCACGGCCGTCCAGAAGATCGTAGCCCGCGAGGGCGTCTCGGGCCTCTACTCGGGCCTCGAATCCGCCCTCTTCGGCATCAGCGTCACCAACTTCGTCTACTACTACTGGTACGAGTGGACCCGCGCCTTCTTCGAGGCCGCCGCCGAGAAGGCCGGCCGCGCCAGCAAGAAGCTCACGACCGTCGAGTCCATGATCGCCGGCGCCATCGCCGGCTCCGCGACCGTCATCATCACGAACCCCATCTGGGTCGTCAACACCCGCATGACCACCCGCGGCGGCAAGGGCAAGGAGGCCGGCTCCACCGACGAGGAGGCACAGGCCGCGAAGCCCAAGAAGGCGCCCTCGACCATCGGCACCCTCCTGGCGCTCCTCAAGAATGAGGGACCCCAGGCCCTCTTCAACGGCGTCATCCCGGCGCTGGTGCTCGTCATCAACCCCATCCTGCAGTACACCCTCTTTGAGCAGATGAAGAACACGGTCGAGAAGAAGAGGCGGGTCACGCCGACCATTGCCTTCTTCCTCGGCGCCGCGGGCAAGCTGTTTGCGACCTCGGTCACGTACCCGTACATCACGGTCAAGAGCCAGATGCACGTCGCCGGCAACGGCGAGAAGAAGGAGGGTATGTCCCAGGCCATTAGCAGAGTCATCCGCGAGGAGGGATACGCCGGTCTCTACAAGGGTGAGTGTTGCCTCGGATGTCGTTCCGAGATGGTGTCCCCCCCTTTTTTCGGTCCTGCAATGCTGACTTTTTTCTTCTCTTTTTTTTTCACAGGTATCGGCCCCAAGGTCACCCAGAGTGTGTTGACCGCCGCATTGCTCTTTGCCTTCAAGGATGTTCTCTACGAGCAGACCGTGAAGCTCAGGTCGATTGCCGCCAAGAAGCGCGCGTAAAATTCACGTCCAAAGAAGATCCCGAGTTACCCCTCCCCCGCTCCGAGTCAAACAACATGACATCGGGGTAGGTGGAGGGATGGGACATACCAGCATATATATGTAGACACAAGCAAGCTAGAGGCAACAAGTGCGCATATCAGCGTGAGCCGCTTAGCGTATATGCAAGCAAGCAGTCATTTTTCATGACAAGACAAGAACCTGTATTGATTTTTATGTGGGAATATCAACACGGGGGTAAAAAACGGGTTGGACAAAGCGTTGATTGGACACATGGGATTACTCTGGATTTAAGTATCACATGATTCCCGGCAAATTTGGAAAGGGGGTGGGTGGGTGTATTCTATGAATTTGTTTTTTTTTTCTCTTAGAAAGTAGGATATCAATAATCCACCACGTATCTACTTCTCATGTGCCACATATATTCTCTACCAAAAGTCATATAAATCTCATGCGACGGGTATGATTCGCGGAACGATCCACCACTCGTGATATGACTTGTCAGGAGTCGGCACCTCGGCCTTGACCTTCAGTTCTCCGCCCTCGCCGCCCGACTTGTCCAGCGCCTTTCGCACAACCGACACGGCCAACCCCGTGGCGATGCACGCCTTGAGCCCGTTCTTCACCGACGGCACCCACCGATCATGCGACCCGACGGAAAACGCCTCGGCCTCGGAAAACTTGCTCATCACCTCCAGCGCCCTTTTCGCGCCCGCCACAGCCCGGTCGGCAAGCTCCAGTAGGTCGCGCGCCGGGCAGTCTGACTGCGAGGTGCCGACGGTGTATTCCTCAAACGTCGGGAGCGAGGGCAGGCCGATGGCGGCAAAGGGCTTCATGCGCAGCTCGTAGCGGAGCTCGTCGGTGCTGTAGGGTCGCGGGGGCGGGGTGATGAGGTGGTGGCGGTGGAGGACGGTGTAGAGGCAGCAGAGGGCGTCGGCGAGGCTTTCTGTCGCGGCGGCGTCGAGGAGGGTTTGGCGGAGGAAGGAGAGGGATTTGGTGTATTGGGCTTCTGCGGCGGGTGTGAGGCCCCCAGAGGACGATGATGATGTTGCTGATTTGTTGCTGGCCCCTGAGCGGGCTTGGTTCAGACTCCGGACGACGAACGATTTTATGCGCTCGACGTGTTGAAGGCGGTTCTTTGCGAGGAAGTTGAGATACCAGTACATGCCGGCCAGCTCGTCCGGCTGGTAGACCTCAAGCTCGAAGCCGAGCTGGACGATCCACTCCATCTGTTTGATCTTGTACAGGTACGCCCACGACGAGAGCGGAAGGGACCACTGCTCGACGGGCTGGCCGGCGGCCGACTGATACACGAGGGGCCGCTCGCCGGTGTGCTCCTGAAGGACCTGGTCGATGTCCTCAGCGTCGAACTGGAGGTTCTCCCAGTCGCGGACAATGTGGCACAGGGTGCGGCGGACGCGGCACCGGTTCTGGCAAAAGGTGCGGAGGATGTCGAGGTAGGGCTGGGCGGCGCGCCTGCGGAAGGATTCCATGGTGTCGGCGATGGCTACACGCGGGTCCTGCGGGGCCTCGACGTCGTCGTTGGCGCGGTCGAGAAGGGGGCTGTTGGGGAGAGAGACGATGGAGAGGTCGTCGTCGAGGAGCTGGCGGATGGACTTGTGGCCGAGGACTTGCATGTCTTTGAAGAGGAAGCTTTGGAGGAGGGTGCGGACGAAGATGAGGGGCTGGGGCTTCTTCGCTTGGAAGGTTGTGACGTAGGTCTAGACGTTTTTGTATGAGTAGTTGATCAAAAGAATGGGGATGTGTTTGTGAGATAAGTACCTGGAGGCAGATGGCGTCGGTGTAGTCGAGCACTCCCACAACTTCCAGTCCGTCGCTAATCATCTTCGTGAGGTGCCCAAAGGCGTCATCAAAACTTATCTCGACAATCGGTCGCGGCGGCATCGTGCTGGCGAGCTTGCGTTGCAGTTTCGCACTACAAGCCTCAGGCACGGGCTTTCCGAGCGCATGAGTGCTCTTAATACCAGGAAGCAAATCCAGAGCCTCTTTCCAAGGGCTTCTAATGAGGGCCGGGTCTGTCCGGTACTGCGTGTGGTCTATGGCTGCGAGGAACGTGTATCGGAGGAGTAGCCTATTGTTGAGGGCGTCTATGGTTTCCTTTGGTATTGAATCCGATAGTTGCCGCAGAATGAAGCTTGCGTCCTTGAGGACATCGCGTACAGACTCTACGCTGAAATCATCGAGGAGGATCCTGTTGTACGTATTTGTGACAAAGTCCTCTTCCTATACCAGTTGGTTAGCTGAGGAGATGGAGTGGAGGTGAGGCGAGTCGCTGTGCGAAAAGACTCACTTCATAGTAATGCTCATTCTTGATCCTCTCGTTGACATTGCCGCACGTCTTTAAGAGTCCCAAGCAATATGCTCTAAGAACGGCATGCATCGGCGCCGGCGGCGTGCCGTTGGCATCCCTGATGAAGTGCGCGTCGTCGATGGTGGCAGGATTCGGCATGAGAATCGACTCGACGTATACGCTTGTGAGGACGGTCTGAGAGAGAGGATATCCAACATGCCAGGCCATCTGCAAACCAAGTCAGCAGAGAGAAAATGACTCTACCGGCGCGATACTAACTTCATGGCAGAGCAGCTGGTCGATTATGCCAAGAACCTCCTCAGGGAGAAGAGGGCGTGTCACATCATAGTCCACGTCTAGCGAATCCTCGGCTTCCAAGCAACCGCTGTCCATCTTCGGGTCCATGATCTGGGTGGCCGTCAGTAGGGAGCCCCTCATAGTCTCCGTCAAACCCCTCATCGGCCCACGTACCTCGAGAGCCCCAACGGACTCAAACAACGTGAAGAAGCCATCCTTGACCAGTTCGCCAGGGGCAAGCGCTGCGCAAGACGGTCAGTCCAACATCTTGTTTTCGTTATGGTAGGATTTCTGCAGCTTACTTTCCGCGGCTGTCTTGAATTTTGACGTGATATCAAAAGCGACGATGCCGTTGTTTGACGCCTTGGGCGGAGGCGGCGGAGGGTGGGGTTGGCGGTCCAGCTCAAGCGAGAGCCTTGAAATGTCTTGAGAATCGGTGAGTGGAACGTGATGCCAAAAAAGGGTCTTGATCGGGCTGGGATATTTCCTTACCATCAGACATTCCAAAGCCGGACGGGATGGCCATATCAGCAACTGCACCTCATGAGACTCTTGGGTTGAGTGAGTGCGTTGAGTGCAGGTTTTAGTGAGGTCACAGTTGCATTGGCCTGGGCATGGATATGCCCATCAAGGAGAAAAAAAGGCCGGTAAATTCGGGAACACGATGATTGCCCTAAGTCCCTTATGAAATGATTTTCAACAAGCAGTTGAGAATAAAAGTGCAACGGTAACGTCTTTTGTCTCTACATGAAAACTGCGAATTTGGTGTTGTTGCAAATTACGGGTATATGGAACGGGAAACATGGAGTGATTGACTGATCACAACCGAATTTGTCCGGCAGGCGGGCAAATTTGGGTGGAGGGAACCTGGAAAGCACGCCCAACATACTGGCCAACGTCGAGCGAAAGCGCGCGCTGGTCACCCGCAACCCGCCCCCGACATCGCAACATTTCATCACCGGCCCCTGGCAGTGCACGTATTCAATTTAGATCGATCAACAAAGTCTTAGCATGGCATTTCGATTGATAGATTTTATGCCCAGTTTTTCATATGATACAGCAGCTCAACTGTCAAGCTGAAGCCGGCGGGTACCCGGGGAGGGTGTCTTCACTCCCCATCATTCCCCATCTATCCCTCGACAACCCTCGGATGCAACTCCCTCTTTGTCTCTCTCACACGTGTGTCCGTTCGGAAATTTACGAAGAAGGGGGAGGAGCGTTGACGGTGGCCTCAGCAAGGTTCTTGACCTCGCCCTGCTTGCCGTTCTGCGATTGCGGTACATTGGAGTCAGCCATTCTGTTCGATGCCCATCGCCATATGTTCGGATCGCTTTCTCACCTCCCACTTGGCGAAACGGAGATCCATCTCTCCACGACGCTCAGCAATGAGTCTCTTGTCCTCCTTCAAGCTGCGGCGCACGACGCGCGAGGCGACGGCGAGGTAGCGGTTGTAGCTGGAAATCGGGGGTTGCCGGGTTAGCTTTTTCCTTCCTTTTCTCTCTCGGCTTTGGTCGCGGGTGGTGCCCAATTGCAACGGGTGCAAAGAAGGCTCGGGAGAAGGGCGTTCGTCAATTGAACTCACGTGATACCGGCGGCTTTCCAGGCGAAGACCATTTTGGCGGTTTGTTTGGTTTTGTTGATGGACGAGGTTATATGGGGGGGCAGTCAGCTCGGGCGGATGTGATCAATTGAAGGTTTCTGGATTCCCCGAAGTGCAAGCTCCGAGTTCGATGCCTTTGTGGCCTGAGGCAGACAGAGCCTCAAGCGACGAGGACGGCACTGGACGGCTGAGCGGGTCTCCACTCTTCTCAGGTTCTCTGTGCCTCACAGGCCTTGAAGCCAGGTACTTTGGTACTTGACCACTCAGAACTCGGAAAGATGAGATGGCAGCATCCCTTTCTGATATTCAAACTTCACTGCAGCAACACAACACGAAATTTTTGTCGCTTGTCACCAAGAGTAGCCTCGTTGGAGCCGGATCTTGCGGCTGTGAGGTCACGGCTATTCGGCGTTAAGCTTTGCACTATTTTGAGGCTGTAATGCTCAGCTGCGTCATCGCCTTTTACATGTCTAGTGCGACTTACAACGTGGAACGGGTTTCGCAGGAAAGCTGTTAGTCTAAAAGTTCGTGTAAAACGGGATTCCGGAGCAATTATCTTGGGACTCTACGCAACCACTCAAGAAGCCACCGTCCTCCCTAGCCACATACGACATGTTCCTGGACACTTTCTCTGATGTTTTTCGAGTGATGACAACGACTAGTGCGTTTGTGCTTGAGTACTAGCGAATGCAGGTGCGAGAGAGCCGCGTCTAGGTATCCTCCTTCTTCGATGCTTGCCAAACGGGCAGACTAACGTCGTTGATTCAATTCCGGCACTACTAATCCGGTGGC